GCACCTTTGTTTTATGTTTTTCTGCTACGTAGCAATAAAAGGCACCTGTTTCATGCTCCAGATGTGTTAACTTACTAACGTCCCCCGCCCCCCCCCCCCCCCCCCCCCGGCTGGAAGGGGTCCCCCATCACTACCAGCGGTTCGCAAGGGGTCCCCGACACATCCATGGCTGAGAACCACTGTTCTAAAGTGTCATGTAGTCCTTTTATTTATTTATAGACAGGCAAATGGTTGATATCGCTGACGGACTTTTACTTGGGATAACTAGGTTACATCTGCTGTTACTGAGTGATCGCTTCTGGCTTGCATTTAGGGGGTTCTATGCTTAAACTTCTCGACCCTATTACCTCATTATTGGCGTGAGTTAAGTTGGTTCGTACATGTTCACAGAAGGCTGGAAAATAACTTCGACAAGTATCTGTGCAAGTATTTTTTTTTAGCTCTTTTCCTATTTTCTTATTACTTCATCTTGCGCTTTAAAAAACCATGGCATCTGCGGTCGACGTAAGCTCTCGTAGTCACGGGGTGCCGTCAAATGCAGCGATATCAGTTGCGCCTCTCTCTACTCGTATTTTTTTTTGCCGGCATTCCTTTACTACTGATTACCAGGATCATTACATGCCCCGCCACTTTTCCCCGCTTACCCTGTGACCTATTTTGTTAGTTTTGAGATTCACACAGTTGCACGAACGGTGCTAGGACACGTTACATGTACCGTAGTTTAATTATTCCAGGCTTTAATACAAAAGAAACAATCCAATATAAACATTTTTTATACCATATCCTTCATCTTAGAAACCTAATTTTTACTACTTGTCAAATTGCCATTTTCAGAAGAAAGTAATTAGGCTCACCTCTGGGTTGATCATTTATTTTACACCACACTTTGGAAACCTCAATACGAAAGTCAAACTATGGTGAGTTCAGCGCCTTTCAATGGCCGTGATAGCTTATGTATTTTCACTGCGAATGTATTATAAAAATATAAAAAGGGGAATTTATAGTTATAATGCAATTAAATGCAAAGGTTCAAGCGAGCTGGACAAGAATGGCGGAAAGTATCCCTGGAAAAGGGGAACAAGATGGGACATAGGACAAACACAAATCTTCAAACACAGCTAGGTGACTGGTGCGCGACAAAGAAAATCCGTCTGGTCCGGATATTTGTGTTTGTCCTTTGTCCCTCCTGTATCCCTTCTCTGTAATCATTTAACGCAAACCGGTACAGCTCTGACCGAAGACCGGGGATCTGGAGCAGGAAATAAGCTTTATTTAGTTAACTATCATAGAAAAAATACTGTGACTATACTTCATGCATTCTTAAGCCGAGACTGCAGCCTTACTACAGGCACGAGGGAATGAAACCTCGGCTTTGAAACATACTTCTGCAGAGCTAGGACTCGCGATCGAAAAGCACTTTCCAAAGCTAAGAGCGCGGGCTAGCTCGCGTTTGTATAGCTTTGCCTGCATTCTCAGCTTCGCATTGTAAGCAAATCCTACTCGCCAGCCCTTCTCATTTCCCCCTCTTCCACTGCTATCTTGACGGCGGGAGACCCCTTTAGTAGCAGCATGTTCAGGCTAGACAAGCCTGCATAAGATACCGGCGTATAGTATTAAAATAATGATATTTCATGAGATTACATTTATTAAAATAGTATTATTTTTCTGTATGCTAAGACGTGTTTTCCGCTTTATGTGGTAGTTAATCCTGCATGAAGGCCTGCTGGAAAATATTGTTGATTCGCGCAACCTGACGATATTGCCGACAGCATATTACTAGAAGCTGGAATGTGACAGGCAATTCTATTGTTCGGTAGGAATCAGCCGTGATGCTACTCCGGAAAAAAAGAAAAAAGAAATTAATAATGAAGAGACTAATCAACGCACAAATATTATTTATTTTTAATTAAACTATCAGTTAAAATAATTAAAAAATTTGACATTATAGCAGTACCCGAAAGATACTGTGGACGCTGCGTTTGTTTTGAGATAACGCTGTCAAGGTATATGTTAGTGCATGACCTAGTGGAGCTATAATCATTATGCTGAAGAACAAGAGCACCAAAAATCTCGGATTTGGTAAAATTTTAGAATCGTGGAAGCAGGGTGGTTAGGAAGCCCAAATATAAAAGAAAAGAAGCGCACACATCCTCAAGGCTAGTGCTTTGCTTTGTTCCTATTTACATTCTTTTTGTCATTTTTGTTTGCGATTTTACTAATGGGATATACGAACTTTTCGGCCCCTATGAACCTACTGGAACCTAGGGAAATTCTTTACAAAAAAGGTATAAACGCAGCACTTTTCCTACAGACATGCATTACGAAGGACTTCATTGTAATACGGTAGATCTACATAATAATAACATGCTAGCCAATTGTTTAAATTTAATAACCGATTTCGTAATCATTTGCTTTGTCATAATGATAAGATCTATCGCTATATTCTTGTCATACAGTGAGGATTATGTTTAAACCCTTTTCATATATAAATTGGAACTTAGAAGACGTATAAAACGGCAGATAGACTAGCCCTTAGCCTTCACTATTAATGAACTGAATGTAAGGACCCAAAGTAGCTGGTGAATATTAGCATGACTTCAACCCCGAGACTGCGGGTAAAACCAAAGCATACTCTAAAAGGTCTCGTTAATCTTACTCCTTTCCGATTTCACGGCCTCCACAATCTTGTTTAAACCTCTACATGTAAAAGAGTATACAGTTTGGCGTCTAAACTTATGTTCCTTGTCCTCGTCGGGACCATAAAATGTTCCAAAATTTTTAAGTACGTCAGAGAAGCGAGGAAGTCTGTTCCCTATCATATTGTTGCCTATACTACATGTGAAGAAAAACTACAAATGAGCTATCAGCTCTGGGTTATGGCTACTGAGACTTCACGACAGAAATCTGATAAGTGTGTAAAACGATTGTGAACGTATGTAGTAATTTACATACTTGCAAGAAGTGTGAAGTCCCGTGCACGCTTCCAATTATTACAATTTTTATTTTATGTTTTTGTCCAGTAGAGCCAACTTTGAAGATATAGAAAGAGGGCATGAATTGGCTGCCTAACTTGTTTCATATATTTCAAATTATCTTTAAAAAACAAGATCATCTCCGGTAAAATTATAAATTAACATTTTTTAAATATATATTTAGGTGTATTTTTTATGTACGTAGCCCAAGATACATGGTATCAAAATGTCTTGTTATAGGAAAGAAATGCATTAATATAAAACAACTTACAGTGATGGTCTCTTCTTTCAAGGACTCCTTGTTTTCGTCTACTCCTGACTAGAGGGCAGATAGCATGCAGTGACCTTGGAACTCTCCCAAAATATTATCAGTGCAGTCCGAAAAACAGCATAAACGGCGCTTTGGCAATATGTTAGAATTTTTTTTTTAGGATAGAGGAAGGCGAGTATAAAACAGCCTGCTCACAAAATTTGTGAAGTTAAGCATCTCGTTACAGTTCGGTAAGTACTGCTTTCCAAGATGTGTGTGTGTTTTTCTTTTTTTAAGGATGGGCATTAGTTTTAACGTTGTGTATTATTTGAGATCTACGGGTCTAATATTATATTGTGAGATATACGGAATTCAGTGCACTCTCGTGGAACAAGAGTTGCTTAAACAGATATTACTTTTCAGAAGAAATCCCTTCCACACATGAAAAATGTATTATTATAAAATTCAAAATTGTTAAACCATTGAAATAATTAATTAACACATTTCGTTTAGAAAAAAACGGATACGATGAAAAAGCGTTCATTTACAAACTATATATTAATGTCGTAACAGAAAGAGTGTTAAAACAATTTCAAATAATCAACACATTGTCACCATTATGCATGTATGCAAGTGACGAAACATGTAATATATATACAGCGTACTCAGGGGTCCATTTTACAGCCACAGATTTTTTTGAAGATGTTGGTATTTTATCAACGACATAAATTTAGTAAGGTACGTTGTTGGGCTAGTTGGTTCATCTTAGTAAAACTTATAAAATAGCGCAACAGGAACAAGGACAAGAAGTAAACGCGCCTGTCCTGTTTACTTCTTGTCCTTGTTCCTGTTGCGCTATTTTATAAGTTTGACATAAATTTCTTCGGAGTTAATATTTTTTGCGGACAATAAACCCGATGCGCATATTTTAATTTTTATCCAGTTACAGAATATAAGTCTCAAAACTAAATGCATATGTAAGAGTAAGTATATTTGTTTAAGACAGTTACTAAGATAGCCTACAGCCTTATCAACCTAACTTGAGCTACCGTGTAGGAGGAAGTGGCATAATAAACGTTATTGGGCCTCTACGTTTCTGAGGAGTTTCCTTGAACGTCTTGCGTGAATAGACTACAAGGTGAATTATATTCGAATAATGAAAGAATGCCTAGAGCACAATATTTCATTATGCGCATTATTTACGTAGGGAAACTCATTTTTAGTTAGGAGTGATTCTGAAACACGCTGCTGTTTCAGGGTTGAAGTTTTGAAGTTGTAGACTCTTCCGGAATTGATCCGCACGCAAAATAAATGTCACGTCAGAAATATTGTCCTCAGTGATATTTTGTGTGTGTGTGTGTGTGTGCGTGTGAGGGGTAGCGTCTTTTTTGGCATCACTGTCTTGTCCTGGCACCTACAATATACTTAGAAGTAGAGTGAAACAGTAAAACATTGTAGATGTAGCTGTGATATTTGCATGCGTGTAATTAATGTTCTGTTTTGCTCTTTGCAATATGTGATAACTATCAATAACAGGTTGGTCTTTGGGATTCATTGGGTTGTTTTACTTTTTTTCAGGAATTGGAGATTTGGAATTTAGCAGTTAAGTCGATATGTCAGTATGACTTGTACCTCGAATGTTCTGTTATTATTATAGAAACAAACCCCTGCAGTCCTTTGCCTCACACTTTTTAAACTTAAGTGGCGTTTTTATAATATTATTAGTCAGTGTATATGTCTTTCAGAACATTTGTTTCTGATATTCAATTCAAAAAGTAATAATCATCCGCGATATTGTTTAGGGCTTTCGACAGCACCCGAACTCAACATACAAACGTAACTTCCTATTTTTCATTGATTCGTGTAATATTTGTAAGACATTTTGTCTCGTTAAGCTTCACGGGTATAGAGTGCCTGGAAGGTGTCTCCGACTGATGTGTTTAGCGTCCTATATCCGCCCATACATTAAAAGTGGACCCAAGGTGGGAACGAATGACGTCACAGAAAACCGGAGTCCCATCCTATTGGATGTCGCGATAGTAGTTGGTCGTACGAATTGTGTCAAAAAAGTATGAGGGAAAGCTAGTGTATACTGGTGTGACGAAATTAACCCCCGGAGAAGGGAACAAGGGGAACAAAAGACAAACACAAGTGTTTTTGTCCTTTGTCCTCCTTGTTCCCCTTCTCCAGGGATTATTATTGTCATTCTTGTCCAGCTCGCTTGCACCATGCCAGTAATTGCATTATCATATATAGCTGTCTTCGCTACAACCCGATTCCTGGCTGCCGTAGTTTTCATTGACTGTCAAGCTGGAGAGCGATCTGCGGCAGGGCAGGCGTCTGCCACATTGACCAGCTCTCGTGGAAACACCACCAGGATAGATGCCGGTCAGACAGCACGGCACTTCTGTGACGCCCCCGGGCGGAAACCGAGAAACCGCTTATTAGGACGCGGTGAACACAACCAGACAGAGACGCGTTCCAGGGATTATAGTACGACTAAGAGGTTCCGTCGGGTTTCAAAACATTACCTCCGCCCCTGCGGGGAGGGAGTCTCTAAAACATAAAGATAAAAACAAACGTTTTGCATTCTAAACTTAAAAAAAAAAATCAAGTCAAGCAGTTGTTGAGAAGTGTATTGCACATTATATATGCGGTACAATATAAATTATTCAAAATATTTGTGATATAATGACCTACTACTGCTCAAGGTGAGCCAGAGAAGCTCGATGTTTACTAAGAAGCCACCTAAAATAAATCTGACTTCCTAAATGCGATAAACGGACCTCTTTTGAATCTTGCTAAATTATATACAAAATCATTAAAACGTGTTTAAATTCATGCCAGTTATAAAAGAGGCTAATATCTCTCGAATCTTTCATCCCCACTACGAGGACTGAATATTTTATTTCTTTATAAAGAAGAGTAAAATTCTTTCTACGCCATACAAAGCATTACGCACGTAACAGTTTCATGCGAGAAATTTTATTCAACATTAAATACTATTTCGCTATTTTTCACCTCGCAGATAGTTTTCGTGGTGGTCGATGATCCCAGGCGCTAGACACAATTTCGATGGTCACATGAAACCAGTAGCGCATAATATTTGGTGGTCTCTTTTGGCTGTTCAGTGCATGTACGGCCAGTTGTGAACTCAGTTAAGGATAATATTGTCTTAAATCAATTGTTATGCATACTTTTTGTTTACTTTTCATACTGTAGCCCCTTTAACACAAGGTTTATTAATGCGAATCATGTTACAACAAATCCGATTTGAAACTTTCTTCTCTCTAGATAGCAGAGAATGTTTCATTTTTGAAAGAATTCAGAATTAACACTTTAACTAAAACCTGAATTTGTTCAAAGTAGTTCGCCCCAATTCATCCTTGATATATAGACGCCGAGTTCATAAATCAGGGTTTCAATTGTGAATTGAAGAGCAAAGCCTACATGACTTTAATACGTGTTTGTATATTTTACTTTGTAACACCAGAGATCCAGAATGAAATACACCTTGTCGCTGTGCCTGCTGGTGGTTGCAGTATCAACCATCTGGTAAGCAGTTCAGATTTGATACAGTCTTCAAATTATTGACTAAGTGTTTAATTAAAATATTTGTAAGGAGTAAAATAATACACCAAAAACAATAGGAGTCGTGTAAAGTTTGCAAAGTGGCCTTATATGAATTTCGGCAACTGGCATAAATGGCAATAAAGTTATGTCTAACACCATTTCTTCTTGCAGCGTGGTGGCTCTACCTCCACTTGGTTGCACAAACATCAATTGCGAGACGCAGTCGTGTCCGCCAATTGGCAATTGCACCTGCGGGAATCACACTATACTTTGTGGCTGCTGCCACAAGTGCTACAAGGTTGGTTGATGATCAAATATGCTTTGTTGAAATGGAGGAGTGACTTGATTGCAGTTTTTAGATTGTTCATTTACATTTAGATTGTTCAATCTAAATTTTTTGAATAAAATTTCCCAGGTACAATAATCTAGTTGTTTATCATTTTAATACAACTAATTGCTTTATTATGAAGGATTCGTTGACTTCAAATAACAAAGGCTATTGCACAAATGTTATCGCTCCAGATGCAAGAGTCCCTATACTACATTTGCTATTCTGGTTGTCTGGAGAGATGTTAACCTTGGCTCTTGCAATTCAGTGACTGGAAAATAGATTATCAATGCCATAATAATTTATGAACTCGTTGGAATAAAGAAATCGATCAAAATAAGAGTTTTAAACTGCCTGGCAAGACAAATAAAACGATAGTCAAGGAAATATTTCGGAGTCACAAATGAATTGCCATGCACTAAACAACCTCAGATGGAAGCAGCCTACATTTTATATTTTATAAAATCCAGACGTAAGTGCAATTTAATAGCACTGCTATAGTTAAAAAAAGACAAATTTGATATCGCAAAGCAATCGATAAAAATGACTTCATATTAGTTCCGCAGCCGCTGGATAATATAATCAGTAAGTTACATAATTAAAACGTGTCAATGATTTTCAGCTCAGTGGAGAAACTTTGAAAGGTGCAAGACGAACTTAGCCAACTGAAAACAATTCATACACGTATAAAATTGTTTTTGTTAAAGACGACTTAAGTAGTTATGCTACCTTATTAAAATTCAACAGTTTCAAAAACTTTATTTATTGATGACTGCTGATTAGACAGTTATATGTTTAATCACGTCCTGTATTAGATATATTCAGGACGTGAAAATTAGTTCTTAGTGAAAGCAATCTTGCAAAGGTCAAAAAATATTACTAATTCCATTGTCTGCCAGGCAGGTGAATGTTGAGAAGATTGAACTTGCGCTGTATCGACATCAGTGACTGCTGTTATTTCCCTCCACACTTCCTGATTGCTATTAAGGGTGATTTTTTATATTGGCCAAATTAAAGATTGTTAAGCATAAAAAAGATGGGTATAAACATGACTAATAAATTGTATGTATTTAGTGCAGTGGTATTGGATACGTTCTAAATACAGGTAATAAGCAAAAAAGGGTAGCGTTTTGGCGGAAAAACGGACATTCGATTTTCCCACAAAAAGAACAAAAGTCATACTCACGTAAGGCATTAAAAAAATGTTGGCTTGGCGTGAGCTGGGGCTACCTCCTTTGGCAATTTTTGCCTTTGCCCCTTTCTGTTATAGAGGGCGGGCAGTACATGTTGTTGGTAGGCTTTCTCCGTTTAGAAGTGACTATTGTCTAACAGCCGTCATCAAGTAGATGCCAAGGTAGCTCGCCAGAGAAACGCCTAAGTTGGCACAGTCTTGGAGATCAAAAGGGCGTAACTTTGGCCCATTACGGTTTTTGCTCCAAGGCATTAGTGAGTGGCAAAGTTTTCTTTTTTATAATGTCTATGGCTTTTCTTTGGCTCGCCACATGAGAACCTGCAGTGAATCCTAAATCTGGCACCTGTTTCACAATTTAGGCCCAAAGTTTACGTGTGAAATCCGGACACACAGAAGTCAAGCCTAACTTTGGCACTTGTTTGGCGAATTATGGCCAAGAACAAAGATTGTCAAGTCTGGCACAACCTTGTTTCTTCTCGGGCTTTGTAAGGCCCAAGCTGCCGCAGACAAGACAAAATTTTGGCCCAGAGGACTGTGGTATCTGGGTGGTTCAGAAATAGCAAACAACTGAAAAGTTTTAACGCACTGATTCGGTAGTCCAGACACCTAAATCTGTCGGTCAATTTTTTTTCTCAGAATTGATTAAGTTGAGGTTTATTATACTTTTTGATGCGCCGTATTTGCTTAAAACAGCCCTTCATATGATAATTTTAAGATAGAAGTAAAATAGATAAAAAAAAGTCAATCTCCATACCCACTTATTTGGATGGCTGTACGGTTTGAGTGTTTTTAAGGAGTGAGAGCTTTTCAAGCACACGAGGAGCATGAGTTAAGGGTGGTCTTAAATGGGAACAAAGTAGCGTATTCTTAAAATATATTTTATTAATAATATTGCAAGAGACAAGCGGATATATAAAAATATATTCCAATCAGATACACGAGTAAGCGTGTTTGAAATGTATGGTTTAAAAATAATAAACATATTTTGTCTGAAAAAAAATGCATTATCTAGGGTTTTGTCCCTAGGAGAAAATAAATACATAGAGAGAGGCACAATAAATTAACAAAATAAACGCCTACACTCATATTTTATTGTTGGTGCAAACCTTGTTTGGTGATCACCGAAGTGTGATTTGCATTAGGCCGCGCAGGTCATGATTTTCATCACAGGCGTGGTTTCCCTAATGAGTCGTTTTATAAAAGCAACACACAAGGCGCAGGCGTAACGCAGGAGCTTGACATAGCAAGCTTCAGGCTTTTCTTGACAATAATCACGCACTGTGGAGTGGCTGTATTCCCTTGTGGATTTGTGTTTAAATTGTTCTTCCGAAAACTTGGCTTGCTTCAAGCGCGTGTTTCTTTTTTATTTCATCGAAACATCTTCCGGCATTTTGTTCTTATTCGCTTTTTAAATCAGAATTTATTTATGAACTGAATTTTAAAGGAAAATGTAACCATAGAGCGTGACGAAAGTACGTAACACGCAGGACAAGGCAACATAAATTACGCATTGTCCGTAGTAGGAAATGCAAAAGCATGCAAAGCATATAGTAGGCATAATTAGTCATAATAATGCATACATTGTCATCGCTAAGAAAACACCATCGAAATCAGAAGAGATTCACCAAGAAGCTTAGCCGGAATCAAACCCGAACCATGGGATCAGCAGTTCGAAAACTTTGCTTAGTGCCTCGAGTAGGAGATAAACGAGAGCGCAAGCAACATAACGAAGTATGACCTGCCGCCGATGGTTTTCAGAAGTAGCACGCGACTGTCCCCGGTGAATGATTCTTCGTCCAGCATGCTTAGTCCGCACGCGACCATCCGAGAGGAGTTATACTTAGCTTACTCAGTCCTCTGTCAACCGTTGCCGCCAAGGCATACTTAGTTTAGCATACTTAATCCGCAGGGGACCGTCGGCGGTCAGGCATACTTATTACAAAGTATTTAGCCCATAGGCCACCGCCGGTGGCAAATCATACTTAGACCACCATATTTAGTCTGCAGGCGACCGTTGGCAGCGATTCATATTTAGTCCAGTGTGCTTAGTTCGTAGGCAACCGTCGGCGGCGAATCATACTTAGTCCAGCACTGACGTACGCACAATACACGCATGGCAGATTCTGCTCTCTCTTTTATCAAAATTCTCAAGGCAAGTGAATGTTTTTGTTGTTTCTTTACTTCTTAACACAATGCCTCTTTGTTTCGTTACAAGACACACAAATAAAAGCATGGGTCGTCTCTCGTCAGTCACCAGTGTCCTAAATTAAGTATATATATATATATATATATATATATACATACACATATATATATGATTAATCAGAAAACAATCGCAGAGCACCTAAGGTTGAAGTAGATGGAACAGAGATGTGAAATTACAACAATCGCATATTTGTAAAAACAGCGCATTGCAATTGTTTTGAACCATTTTTAAACTGTGCTTCTATTCCTTTTTACAGTGTCCTGGAGAGTCCTGCAGGACGCTTGGGGTTGATTCTTGCAGCCGAGGTTACGAATGCATTGTTTCTAGTCCAACGTTGTTTGAGGCTCTTGAGGTCACTGGAGTGTGCACGGCCATAGCCACAACACCAAGAAGTTCCGGATGACGACCCTGATAATATTCTATCAATAACATCACCTAAAAGCAGAATTTGTACTCTCAAGTTTTCTGCTTAGTTGGGTTGTCCTGGAATTTTAGCAAAATAAAGCGTTAAGATTTAACGTGCCAATCTGCTTCATTTCATTAAAAAGTCATCTCTTTTAAGGTCATCTGATTTTATTAAAACAAAATACCCACTAGCCATATTAGGGTAGGGAAAATTTTGACGGATATCCTTACAGGTAGCTGATAAGTCGCTTATGCGTAGAAACCACATAATCTTAAATTAATTGTTTTAGTGAGACAAACTTGTTAGGGTAATTAAATGGTTATAACTAGTGCGTAAATAAAGGATGCAACACCCCCAAGAAGTTCAATCAAGCAGGAATAGAAGACAAAACGAGTGCTCCTTCTACGGCCATCGCCCTTTGGGGATTTTTTTTAACTAATTAGAACCAACTAACACAACTTGCTAAGGCGAAAGCCTTGTCTCATCGTTCAGTCAACCTTCAAAGTCCTTGAGCGAAAGCACGTCGGTGACACGAAAAGTATGAAAACACGCCGGCAGAACGAAAAGTACCAAAACAAAACGTACCAATGAAACGGCGTCAAAAGTGCGTCGTCATGATAGTGCGCTGTCTTCGGAGGTTCGCTATCACCGGACCACAGCCGACGCCACGATCCGAGAGAGCCGATGAAACGGCGCCAAAAGTGCGTCGTTAGAGAGCGCGCTTTATTCGGAGGTTAGCTATCACGTTTACATCGGCGCTTCGGCTTTCGCCTTCAAATCGTCTTAGGGACAACATAAGAGGCCTTATGAATTTTAGCTTGGCATTGTGAGGCTTGAATATTATAAAGTAACGGGACGCATCCTTTAACTAATGTATTGATTTGAGGGCGAATTTCGTATTAAAGTGTGAGTAAAGAAGGTGAATAGCCAACAAGAACAAATACACACTTGTTCCAATTAGGACGCAGCTGCTTTTTACGAAACAAGGCTTAGCTTCTTCAAGGTACCTACGAAACACTATACTTGCCTCCATCATCCTGATAAACCTGGGGAGTAAAGAAAGTGTCGTGCGTGTAAATTCGTCCGTCACTTTTTTTTTTATGCTTGGGTGCGAGGAACTTGGCGTTGTTTCGGATGCGTTGTACACACAACAGCACTTGTGTGCTGTCCGGTTTCATCATAAATATTCCGACAAGTTTAAATTTATTCAAGAGTGAAGCGTGTGAGGAGTTTGCTAAATTGAGAGGTTTCAATTGGTTTTGCTTCTTCCAAGCGTATGCATGTCGCCTTAAGATCTTAATCCGGGGTTGTACAAAAGGCAGTCTGCATACAAATTCGAACGCTAGTCACGGCGAGATCCCTGCTCGATCGCCGCGTGGCAATGAGTTCAAAAAAAAAACTGGGCACGCGGCATTCAAACCAGGGGTATTTCAGTGGTTCGTGTTTGCAGACTCTTTTTTGTATGATGTATGAGCAGTGTGACCACGGCTTTAGTGCTCTTGGATCGGGAGAAGCCCCTTGTGATAACTGAGGTGATTGCGAGGGGAAAAAGTTTTATCGTGCCCGCTACGCTATCTATTGGCCGCTTTCTGAAGTCGTGCCGTAATGCGTCTGCTGCGCTATCTTTTAATGCGCTATGATCCGCCCCGTAACATCGTAAGATATGTCACATGGGGAGCAATGCTTAGTCATTGGGCGGTCAGTGGCCCGCGCCGACGGTCGCCTACGCTCCGTTCCCCCTTTAAAGGCCCCTGAAAAGAAAAAACAAAATGTAAGAGTCTGGCTGGGACACGCGTATCAATAAATTAACTCTACACGACAAAAAAAAATAAAAAAATAAGAGCAATATGGACGGAACGAGGCGCGATTTAGTCGGTAGTCACGTCCTTTCCACTTGTTTTCTCTCTCGGCATTTCGGGCGCGTGGAGGAAAGGTGGATCGGGTTCGCCTTCACGTTGAGGTGGGAAGACCGAAAGACCAAGATGGTCGTCACTCCGGAATGACCCGTGTCGTCATGGACTTTGCGCGTAAAACGTATTTCTCGACACGCGTGTCCCAACCAGACTGTTTAAAAAACTTTTTTTTTCCAGGGGCCCTTTAATCTGAGACTCCAGACAATGCCAAAAGCACAAGAACTCGAGGGCGGTGCTTCGACGCGTTCTTCCGCAGAGCGAGCACTCGTCTGCGGAGTGAGCACGTCTAAGAGCTAGGACCGTGGGCTAGATCGCGCGGGCTAACTTTAGCTGCAGTGTCAGCTTAAAGGTGCCCTGAGGAGGTTTCTGAGCTCGCCTAATTATGGCGATAACTCACTCTGCCGGATCCAAGTATTGTAGAAATCCCTAAATCATGACGAAATGCGGTTGATTTCTCTATTAAAAAACAATCAGACATTTCACCACACCAAGTTCATCTCGGGCGATGGGGGGACTATGGTTCGAAACCAGGACCACTGTCAGCGAATACGGTAGAACCGCAGAGTAATATCTTGAATGCGCGGCTCGTTTCCCATATAGCCCGGACCAGGCACCTAGCCAGGATTTTGTTTCGGGGGGATAGGGGGGGGGGGGGGGTCCTGCCCATGACAAAATGCTGTATGAGGGGGAGGGGGGAGAGGAGGTCCCAGCAAAATAGAAAATTTTGCGGAGGACCCGGGCCCTATGGGTCCCCCCCCCCCCCCTCTCTACGTGCCTGGCCCGGACTACGATGAACGGATGGATGGATGAATACGGCTGAGCCCTTTGGATCGGGCGGTAGCTTACGCCACCTAGCCATTTTGTTTTACCATTTAAGCTTAGAATATTTAAATGTGAAATCTATATTCACTCCGCAGTGCAAAGAAAGTGAGGCTATGAAACCCCCTTGCCATCAGTGAATAAGAAAACACCTAGTTTTCTCTCGATTTCTGCGACCATTCACTTAATCTTTGCTTGGTATTTCCTACAGTCTTGAAATCCACTCTCCCTTCGCTGTCTCTAAAACCCAATGACTTTATTAAATCTATGTTGTCTTCGGTAGGCATAGGGTGAAGCCCTTTACAGTAGAGTATCAAATGCTCAGCCGTCTCGTCCTCCTCTCCACAAGCAGTGCACACTGTATCAATTTCCTGGTACTTCAATCTGTATGTTCTGGTTCGCAGAACACCCGTCCTCGCCTCAAACAGCAATGAGCTTCCCCTAGAATTGTCATAACTGCTTTCTTTGGCAATAACTGTTTTGTTTAATCAATAGCTTTCCAGAGTCGTCTTTGTCTGCATTCCCTCTAGCCACCGATCTCTTTCTGTGGCCTTTACTTTCTTCTTAACTGAGACTTGCTCTTCCTATCTTCGCTATAGCCCTAAAACTTTCCTCTTAATTTCCTAGTGCGCTGTCTCCACTTTGTGTCTACACTCCTCATGTATAAATAGCTAAAAACCTTTCGTGCCCATTGCTCCCCATCCATTTGCCTCAACCTATCCTCAAATTCTATTTTGCTCGCCGCTTCCCTGCTCTTAAATGACGCCCATCCCATGTCTCCTTGTACTCCCTGGTTTGGCGTTTTGCAATGTGCCCCCAAAGTCAGTCTACCTACTCCGCGCTGTTTTATTTCTAGTCTCGCATGCACTTCTGCACTTCAGATTTCATGCATAGCACTGCGTTTCCAAAAGTCAAGCCAGGCACCATGACCCCTTTCCAAATCTCTCTCACCACCTCATACCTGTTGTAATTCCAAAGTGCTCTATTTTTCATTACAGCTGCATTTCTGTTGCCCTTACCTATTATATTCTTTTCATGCTCTCTGAGATATTCTGCACCATCACATATCCATGCTCCTAGATACTTGTATTTACTAGCTCTCTCAACTGTAATATTCTGTATCTTCAGCCTCTCAACTTCATCCTCGTTAAAAATCATGACTGTTGATTTTTCGCTACTGAATTCTAAACCTAATTCCTCTCCTTCCCTACCACAGATGCTCATTAATTCCTGAAACTCTGTCCTGTTGTTAGCCATTAGTACGATATCATCCGCATACATCAATCCCGATGAGGATTGCTGAATTGTTTGGCCTAGCTTACTGTAAGAAAGGTTGAATCCAAGCCCACTCTTCTCTAGTCTATCCTCCAATCCTCTCAGATACAACATAAACAGCAAAGGCGATAACATGCACCCCTGCCGAAGGCCTCGTCTTATCTCTATTTTCCCTGTCGCCTTTCCTTCCCATGTTATAATGGGTGGTTCCCGTTTCAACCCATTCCCATTTCAACCTTCCCGTTTGTACCTTCCCGTTTCGACCCGGATCAAAACGACCTTCCCGTTTCATCTTTTCTCATTTCGCCCTTTCCCGAAACAACCTTCCCGTTTCGACCCGTGTCACCTCGCACTGTCCACGGGAAGTTTGTTATCAGTTCAGTCAGTTCAAGTGTACCATGTCTGTCTTCCTTGGTGACCTAATTTCACCCTCTCCCAAAGCGACCTTGAAGATTTAATCACCAGCAGTCATTTTTTGCACGCTGTTCTGGTGTTAGTGTGTCGGCAGTGCTGTAAACGCATAGCAGTTACCGCTGTCACCGCCGCAGGATGTCTTCGTTTGTCATCTTACAAACCCAGAAAAAGAAGCAGTGTTTACACTTAGATGGATATAAGTACCACAAGAAACGTTCGAATGCGAACGGAACTGTTGCGTGGCGGTGTGCCAACCATGGTTCATCCTGCTGCCCTGCATCAATCCTGACGGAAGGAGATCATGTCAAGAACACCCTTCGTGAGTAGAAAGGTTATTTAAAGCTGAAGGTTAACGTGAATTTGCAGTGCGAAATTAACATTTCATTTTTTTTAGGAGACCACAATCACCCTCCCGATGAAACAGCCGTTGTCAAGGACCGGATCAGAATGGAACTAAAAGAAAAAGTGGCCTCTAATCCTCACGTTGCAGCTCCGACGCTCTACAACCAGGAACTTCTTCGCGCATCTCAAGCCGTAAGTGTCCATTTTGTGAAAGTGCGATCATAATGGGCTTTTTTTTTTTAGCTGGGCTATATTAGAAAAAAGTAAACGTGAGATGTAGTAATTTGAGTCCTGGGGCAGTGATAATGGCCTTGGTGGCCACTAGAAAAATGCGAAATTAGGTCATTAGCTAGCTAA